TTTCAAGTTGAAAGTCCAAACAAATGTTCCACTCGATGTCTTGTTTTATAAGACTGGACATCTATATATGTTACGTAGATCTTGCTTGTCTTGTGTAATAGCTTTTACATAAATTATGGGCATTGCTGGAAAAAGTTCTTTGAGACGAGAGTCTACTATACTAGAAATATTAATATCCCATCGAGCTCCTTCCATGAATATTCCGTGAATATACGCACCTTCTTTTGGAGGGGCATTAAGATCATCTCTAGTCTTTTTGGTAACATCGCAGTTCAAACACATTTTGTCAAGAGGCCATTCATTTTTACGAGCTGATTGTTGCATGATTGCCGTTAAAAATGACTGTGGATTAAAAAAGCCGGACAACCACACAGAATTTGGTAGAACAAAATCATTGGCCCAACTTTCGATCTCTTTCAATCGTAAAATTAAGTCGTTAAACCAACCGCCTAGACAAAAGACTTGGATATGCCCTCTTAGTCCAACTTGGCGGTACCTGATCTAAAAATAGACATTCTTCTAACTCTTCCATATCTTTGGTTATAGTCAATTCGCCCTTTAAACCTAAATGTAATTCTTTCAAGCTTCGTTTGATTTCTCGTACTAAAATATTCATGCGTTCACATTCTTGAAATGCTACAATTATAAATGGTGTTCGTTCTTCTACACGTGCTGTGATTTCTGACATATTGAATTCCTCTGGTAATTTATCTGCAATATCATCAAGGGTCACTTTCACCTTTTCTTCTTTTGACATTGTAACCACACCAGATGTACTTGATTCTCTGGGTTGTAGTTCGAAAACTGTTCTGAACATATTTTCGGATTTAGACGTTAGAAAACCCAATTAGCATTCGGGTGTAATCCGTACAGATATGGCGATTCATCCGGAAGCGTTTCATCTATGTAGGCATGATAACCTGGATATTCCATGTTTGATGGAGCAGCGAAACCAGGTGCAAAATAAAGTTCTCCTTCAACCAGATCAGGCTGCATATATTCATTCAAATATGTGAGACATAAACGTCTATCCCAATCATCAGTAATGTGCCCGCCGTACATAATTTCTCCGAAGAGATATCTTAAGTCTTCCCAAGGCACTTTATTATTATTTTCTAAATAATTTCTTAAGACATATACGCTTATAGTTAATCTCCCGCATTGAATGGATATATTCGGTTCCACCCCTGAGGTCCAAATTTTCGGCGTTCAGCAACGACGCATGAAAATAGCACAAGAAAATAAAATAGATTTAAACTCAGCTTCTTTGGAACACGTTTCTAGAATTTCTTGATTGAAATTATCTAGTGCTTTATGAAGATTTGCAAGCATGCCTGTTGGTGCCTCGTTTGTTATTTTAATAGACGATTCCAATATACCTTGAGGTATGATGTGAAATTCGGTGCTGGAGCCGGTTCTGCTGATAAAAATAACCTGTAGTTTTTGTGAACACTGTCATCCATGCTTTCCATAATTTTTTCCAGTTTTACAAGCCATTTTGCTACAAGATGTATATTTTGCAACATAACCCACTGACCACATTTTGAAGCGATATTAATTGCATTTTCCGCAACTTTTTCTTGCCCCTGACCTAAAGAAACAATATGCAAATTTGGTGAGTCAGTATCAATATTAAGGTTTCTTGCAAGTTTTTTCAACATCTTTAAGCGGGTCTACGCCTGGTGATAAAATAAAAATATAGGTGTTGCAGCATTGCTTTCTTCAAATGATGTTTTAAAGTCAATGGTGCGTGTTTCTACAAATTGGGTCCCAAGATTTTCTTCGATAAATGTAGCCATAGCGTACGTCATGCGATCAGGTCTTAATGTACGCATCATACATAATCTCTGTAAAGGTGACTTATTTTTCCACTCCTGTGGAAACTTTTCCTTTTCTGGTGTTTCTGACTCCACAAATTTTTTCCATCTCTTGGCTGAAGCTACAATATCTCGGTCAAAATTGTTAAAAGACTGCAATGAAGCCAACAATTTTACCCCAGCCCATAGTGTATTTGTAAGAAAATCCACCGGAGAGTTTAAAGGAGCTGCGATTGGAAACCGTAATAAAAAATCCAATTCCCAAGGATGTATTTCTTTTGCATTAATTAAGATTTGAAGTGCTATTTGTGCAAGAAAAATTAATTTGTCATTTTCAAAAAGCCCTCTGCTCGTGTATAAAAATACTCTAAATGTTATGGAATTTAATAAATTAGTTACACGTTCTTGAAGTTTTTCTGCTGGCAAGGCTCTTTTAAGAGCATCTTTAAATACTTCGCTAAAAGCTTTTAATGAAAATTGATAAATCATGTTTATTTTATACAATCATTCAAAATAAAGTACAAAATTGATGCTCTGCAGGCCACTGGTCTATAATGTTCTCGAGCTTCATCTATTTTTGCTGAAGTAGATTTTGCTTCAGATACTTTTATTGCCACTTCATCTGCAGTCTTTTTAGTTTGCTCTAAATTTATAACTAATGCGCTATCTTCTAAAACATTTGCACCCGCATTCGATAATCTTGTCAATAAATCATCTTCCAACGTTTTTAATGTTATTTTAAAATGATTCTGTTGTTTTGTAAGTTCAGATTTTAAATTTTCCAAATCAGGTCTTTCAGCTTTTACAACCTCTGCCAGTAGCTGTTCCTCCAAGCCATCTTTCGTTACTGTAAAATTTATAAGTGTAGTTTGAGCTTGCATTTCAGGTTTGTAATGTGGATTCGCTAGCTTTGTTTGTAATATTAATTTGAAGGAAGGATGGTAATCGATTTCTTTGTCGCCGATTTTGATACATGTTCCCTTTTTATACAGTGCTCGTCCTAATAGTGGATCTAACACAGCATCTACATTTTCATAAATGTTTTCTATTAATAATACATCGCCGCTAATAATAGCTTTTTCTATAATATCCATGTAATTTTTCATAGATAAACGTATCACCTTAAGGTTAGATATATATTTGTTTTTTATCCACTTTATACCTTGTCTGAAATTGAATGACAATAAAAATTACTTGATGTTAAATGCTGAAATATTAAAGCTAATTTTAGCTTACAATTGTGGATCAATCATTAGTGGCCACCTTGCTGAGTTAGTTAAAATTGTGGCGTTTTCAGCTGACATTCTATCACTCGGTAATCCTTCATTATTCCATACAGCTATTTGGGCTTCGTCTGTTAATAAGCTAAGAGTATCCAATCCAGTACTTCTAGGAATTTCAGGCTATAATATTTATTTGAGCCAAATAAATAAAATTAAATTTTTCGAATATCTTTGATACAATATTCATTATACTACCTTTAGTTTAGACAGATAGGGCAACCAGTATTTATCTTGTAAATCTACTCTATACGGACGAGTGAAACATCCGACGTAAGAAATGAAACAGCTTACGATTAAAACATCCCCTGGTATTGTAACACCAGATACTTTAAGGTCCATAACGAATATTTTCTGATGCTAAGCCTGTCACTAGTCTATTTGCAAGATCGATAGTAGTCGCTGTTCTATCAGCCTCTTCTTCACATTTTATTTTGTCCATCTGAGCTTGTTCAAATTCTGATGTTAGGATTGAAAGTTTTGCTTCTAACGCCTAGAATAAAAATAATATATGAAACTCTGGAATTATAATTAATATTTGGTTTTAAGAATTTGATACACTTACCGATATTTGATTTTTTAATTTTTCAAGTTTGTTTCGTGCATCACTCAAATCCTTGTTGGCTGTTTGTAATGCTCTTCTCTTTGGTTCTACTACTATGAATACTTCATAGTATTTATTTATATTTATTACCCAAGCACAAAGACCAGCAGCTGCAGTTGATTTGCTCATAATGTACTCAGGATTAAATTGATGATCATTTAAATATGGCTGCAAAGCTTTTATTATTTCTGGATGTATATTTTCTTTGTCATAATTAACCAGATCATTCAGAAACTGCGCTGCATTTCCCATTATCATTTTACAAGCTTTCCATGAACGATCTTTAGGAATTTTCCCTTTTTTTGAAAATAATACTAATACCGCTGCACACACATTGACTACTGCGTCCGGTGGTGAACCGAATGATCTTAACTCTGTTAAATTGTTTTTATTCAAAGTGTTTAAAGCTTCTTGTGCAGCTATTAGTGCTGGTTCTGCTCTTGCTAGATCATCAGCGCATACTTTTGCTTGAATAGTCACATCTTCTTCAATAATCCGTACTTTTTTCTCTTCACTTGCAGCGAAAGCTTTTTCTTTAGCAACTTTTTCACTTTCAGCTCCAACTGCTAATATTAATTTGTCTGCAGCTATATTTTTACTTGCTAGTTCAACTTCTTGTAACGCTAAAACCTTTTTAAGTGCTTCAACTTCTGTGGCGCATTGAGCTAATTTTGTCAAACCATTCTGAAGACGATTAACGCGGTCTTTCAAATAATTTGTTTTCTCAAGCAAAAGCTTAGAATATAACGCTATTAATTCCAAAAATGATTTTGGCGTAGTATAGTTGTACCTTTTTTCGTTAGCCAAGTATGTGGCGGATATTTCGTTAACAGTTGTATGTACGTAAGACATATACAGAGATACTGAATTTATCATTTCTGTAGGTAGTGATTTCATTTCCGATAGAAAACTGGTAGATACCGATTGTAAAGCTTCTTGAGGCCATTCATAAAACCAATTTATTGCTGTACAATTGACTATTGCCGGAAACTTTCTAGCTCGTACTCTAAGGGTTGAACCGACAGGAGAAAAGCACAATACAACTTTTAGAATACGTCTTACTCTATCTATGAAATATTTCCAACAATTTTCACGCGTATCTTGCAGATTTGCTTGTTTAACTTCATTTCTCATTGCACTAATTACGTTTTCTAAGTCTTCGTCCGCTAGCA